TGATGGCAAGCTTTAAAGTTCTCTAGCCCAATAGACAGTGAAGAGAGCTAAGTATTTGAATTCTCTATTTTAGGACATGGATAAAGAAATTCTGCTTGGTTCCTAGAGAAACTTCATCTCTTCTCATCATTCTCTATTCTCCTTTTTCTCAACCAGGTGCTACTCATTCTACTGTGTTTACTTTTCTTTGTGCCTATCTCTCAGAATATTTGTCTATATATTTCAAGTTGATTTGTCCTGTCATTTTAAAATGTGAACTAAGTCTTTTGTTTCTTCCTGTGGCTGTAGTCCTTGAAGCATGGGACTTGATTTTATTAAATGCTTTCACTCTTTCAAGAATTTTTTTTAATTACTTGCCAAGAATTGAATCATTATTGTCTTTACCAACCTCAAAGGATAATGAATCTGAAAGATCCATTGGAGGGTGAAAGTGTGTGTATTCTGTATTTTTATTTTTCTCAACCAGTTATTATTCATGCTACTATATTTACTTTTCACATCCAGTGCCTTTACAAAGTATAAAATAACCTGTGATGACAGAGTACCATTATTTTATTGGCTTCGCTTGAAAAGAAACTAAACTATGAAAAGGCTGTTGTGTCATTATGCATTCACATGGTTGCCCTCCTTTGGAATGCAACAAGAGACCCAGGAAATTCGAATCATAGATGGAATGATTATTAAAAAAAATCCAAGGATATTCTAATATATCAAACAATGAAGTAGATGAGCTATTTTGGTTGAAATAGTGAAACCCAAAATGTGACCATGGCAGAATCACTAAAACTAGCAGAATTCCTAGCTGGAAATTTGTTCTTGGTGAAATCATGAAGAATATTTGCTGGCCGATCCTTAACCTGGTCTGCTTTGCAATTCTTGTACACCTGTGGATTTTGAGAGTACGTTGCTCTGTCTTAAACAGCTGTCTAAAATTATAGATAAGCAACCTTGTAAGTTATTATTGTTGTTGTTGTTGTTATTGTTGCTAGGAAATATTGATCTTATAGATTCCAGAACTTATACTACATATACTATGTTTTATATATATATATATACACATACATACACAGACACTATATATACATATATATGTCATATGTGTATTTATATATGTAACACAGTGTTACTTATGACTAAGACATTTGTCTTTTGTATGGTGTTTTGTCTTGAGAACTTGACTGAGGACAAAACTGAGAAGAGAAAGGGTGGTTCCTTTTCCCAGGTAAATCAAATAGTGTTCATAATTGTCATTGATCCTACATCTTATCTTTTCATAGGTTTTCTTTGGGTATTGGAATAGAATTGATTTTACTTAATTTTTTTCTGGTGAATTTAAAGAAAGTAAATTCAATAAGTGACTGGCACATGAAGATCAGTTACCTTGTAAACTTACTAACTGCAAATTCATTTACATTTAGTTAGAAAATGAAGTTGAGATTGTGCCTTCATGTGTTTTTTATAAAGAGTATCATTTTTGTTGTGAAGGAAAGATTAATAAATGTACTTAATATGTGTCTGTTGATTGATTGTTATTACTTGGTTGTGCTAAGACAGTCACTGAGACTTGAAAATCAAATCATTTGTACCTATTAGATCCAAACATACATTCTGTGGTGTATTTAAAACAATCTCTGAAAGAGTTTCTTAGCTTAAAATACTATTTGGCCATACCATGGACTTAATGTCAGTATCAGACCTAATAAACTATGCTACTTTGCTACATACATGAAAGTATGGGGCAGCTAAGTGGTGCAGTGGATAGAGCACCAGACCTTGCGTCAGGAAAACATGTGTTCAAATCCAGCCTTGGGCACTTACTAGTTGTGTGACCCTGAGCAAATCATTTAAACCCATTTGCCTCAGTTTCCTCATCTGTAAAATGAGCTGGAGAAGGAAATAGCAAACCATTCATTATTTTTGCCAAGAAAACCCCAAATGGGGTCATGAAGAGTTGGACACAACTGAAACGACTGAACAACATGACAGTATAGCTGCTTTGGCACTGATTGCAGGAGACAAAGTAGAGTCTACAAATGTGATGAAAGGTAATATAGTGAAGAGGGTCCTGAATCTGAAATGAGGGAGACCTGAGTTCAAATCCCACCTCAATCACTAGGCCACCCTGTACATCATTTAATTACTCTGTGCCTCAGGTTTCTCATTTGTAAAATGAAGGAATTGGCCTTGATGGCATCTAGACTTCCAGCTGTAAGACTAGGCTAGTACAATTATAATAAATAACAGCTGAATCTTCCACACAGGAGCAGAGAAAAAGCCCAACAAAGGAAGTGTAATAAACAAGATGGCACTTGGACCTCTGGTACTGAACTGGGTGAAGTGTGGTGTGTGTGTGTGTGTGTGTGTGTGAGAATTAAATTGCTCAAGTTCAATATACCTCCAGAATTTTTTTTCTGACATCCTTTGTATGCATTAGCATTTGCTGTGAGGAACATTAAGCTTTTTCAAGGAGGTTCTCAGCTACAGTGATATGTTGGGACACCCATTTTCTGAAAGATATTCACAGTCGGATTTTCCACCAGGTGCTCAAGAATCACTTGCCTTGACAAAGAACACTAAGTTCTTTACAATGACAGAGGACAGATTTTATAAAATTAGCCTAAAAAACATAGTACATCTGAGTTGGGAGGGTTCTTAGAGATTACATAGTACAACCCTTTCATTTTACAGAAGAGGAAATTGAGGCCCAGAAAATTTCCTAAAGTAGCAGGGCAGGCACCAGAACCCAGATGTCCTGATTCCTATGATCTTTCCATGGTATCTTATAAGGCTCATCAGAAAATTTTGTTCTCAACCTGGTTCTTCCACTTTTAGCTCTGTGACTTTGACTCAGTTTCCTCAATTGTAAAAATAGATATAATAAAAACAGATCCATAGATTTAGAGTTGTCAAGGACCTTAACAGTCAGTGACCTGCCCAAGGTCAAACAGGTAGTAAGTCAAAGAACTTCAAGCCCAGACCATCTAAGTCGGCCACGACTCATGATTCTTTCCACTGTAAGGATTTTGTTTTTCTTTACTTGTATCTCAATGGAAGGATGGTGGGAGAAAAAAAAAATAAATGCTTGTTAATTGAAAAAAAATTAAAGAATCAAATAAGCTATGTTATATAGAGATACTTGGTGAGCCATAAAGCAATATGTAAATATAAGGACTATTCTGAAATACTACCTTTAAATGTCCATTACTATAGTAAACAAACTAAAGATAGAGCCCTTTTGCCTAGAAACTTCAGTTAAATAGGTATTGAGGACCTACTATGTGTTTCAAATTGTATTAGGAACTGTGAGGGATACAAAAATACATGACTGGATCTCTGTACTCCAGAAGTTTGCCATTTTGTTGAGGGAAAAAAAAAGATGTAAACACATAAAGCTAATTGAGGACTTTATAAAGGTATAGCTATACCTTTATAAAGGTATAAGGAGATGGATGGCATAAATTTCTCTTTTTCTTTAACATTTTCTGAGAGTTGTAAGAATGTTGGCTACAGCATTGCCATTCATGTTCATGGAAAGGGAAGAATACTGTTCTGCTTTGTTAATTATTGTAGGCTTTCTAAAAGAAGTCAAGCTTGAATTGAATGAAAAGAGGGGAATTAGGTGACTGAGTGGAAAGAAAGAGAAAATACCTGCCCCATTAAAATGTGAGTTCCTTCAGGACAGGGACAGTTTGTTGGTTTGTTTTTTGTTTTTTTGCTTTTCTACACATTTGCCGCACAGCACAGTTCTGTGCATATAGGAAACAATAAATGCTTGTTCCCACTGAGTGACCCATTTACCTTTCTTTATGATAAAAGGGACATGTGAGTTAGAAGGACCTGAGAGGAGAATGACTTGATTTCAACAGAGAGAACTGGAGGAATTAGTTTGTGAAAAACTAGTACAGGTTCTCAAAGTCCAACATGACTAATAACTTGAATGGAGTTGATTGAAAATTAATCAAGATTCTGAGGAGGAAGAAAATTCTTAAAAAGATCTCTCTGTGGTACATGAAATTCACAAAACTGTCTCACATGAGATATTATTTTGCTCACTCCATTCAGGCTGCCATAATTTGTGGCTACTAAGAAATGTCTGGGTATCATTCTTTGAAATGAATGCAGTTCAGGTTGGTGTCATGGAAAGGAGGGTAGACTTGAGAGTCAGGAGATACTTAAGTTAAAATACTGACTGATACTGACAAGCTGTGTGACTTGGGAAAATCACCTTTTAAGCCTCAATTTCCTCAAATGTAAACTGGGGTTAATAACATTATGTGTACCACCTGCCTTACAGGGTTATTGTGAATAAATCACCCTCTGTGTTAGTCTTAAAGTGCTATATAAAATGAGTTGTTATTACAAATTAATTTTCTGAATTTGCTCTTTGTTGTTTAGAAGAAGCAAAGGACTTCCAGGAGCCAAGATGGCAGAGTAAACAGTAAATCACCATAACTCTTCCATATTCACCTCCAAGCAACCATAAAATAGTGCCCTCAAGCAAATCCTGGAACAGCAGTACCAGAAAAAAGATGGGGTGAAACAATTTTTGAGCTTAAGAAACTTGGAAGATCAGCAGGAAAGGTATGTCTCACTCAGCAGTAGATCCTGAGCCCCAAAGTGGTGGAACAGGCAAACACCAACATCCGGACCTCCCACCTGCCTCAGCATAGCCAGGAGAATGGGCAAACTCCAGTTCTGAGAGCCATCACGTGCTTCAGCGTAGCCCCAGGTAAAGAAGCAACCTCCACTAGCCAGACCTCTCTGTGCATCAGTGAAGCCCGGGGCAAACAGGTAAATGCTATAATCCTAGGATGCCCAAGCAAACAGGAAGATACCAAGCCAGGGCCTCTGCCATGGGCTTCTACATAGCCCTGGGCAAACAGGCAGCTGCCAGCAGCCAGACGGCCACCAATAGCTCAGAAACACCACACTGGCCTCAGCATATGCTGGACACCACTACTAGGATCCTGGCTCAGCAGTAGGTAAGCTGCCAGACCCCTATGGCCTCCAGTAATGTCAGCCAGCCCCCACCCCACCCCCTCAGCACAGTACCAGACAGGGGGGTCTTGAGTGGACCTCAGGGCAACATCAGTGCAATACCAGGTAAATAGCCAGTGTCTGTAGCCCCTGGCACAAGAAGTCTGAGCCAGTGCCCCTTCCACTCCAGGAGCAGAGCTCAAATTTAAAAGTAAGGAAAAAAGGCCAAAAAAGATGAGCAAAAAACAATAAAAAAAGGAATCTGACCCATAGGAAAAAAAATGGAGTGACAAAGGTTATTAACAATACACGTATTTTTTTCTTGAAATTGGGTCTATCTAAAAAATTTGAACTATTCCTCTCACAAGGGCTAACTGTTCTGTGCATTTTCACTGACTATACCCCATGCCTGGAATACTCACCCTCCTCACCTCAGCTTCTTGGCTTACAAACAACAACAATCTTGTCTTTCCAGTGCCTTCTCTCTTTCAATTATTTCATATTTTTCCTGTGTATAGCTTGTTCATATATACATATACGTATATATGTATATGTATATGTATGCTTATTGTATCCTCCATTAAATTGTGAGCTCCTCAAGGGCTTTTATCTTTAGTGTCATCTTGCATCCCCAGTGCTTACTCCCCCCTCTCCAAATTTTCCTATCACTGCACTTTTTGATCCAGTGACACTAGCCTCCTTTCTGTCCACAAACAAGATATCTCTCATCTCCAAGCATTTTCTTTGTCTAGAATTCTCTCCCTCTCTTAGTCCTGGACTCTTGACTTCCAGGCTCCCTTCAAGTCCCAACTAAAATCCCATCTTCCATAGGAAGTCTTTCCCAATCCCTCTCAATTCTAATGCCCTCTCTCTTTTAATTTTTCCTGTCTATCCTGTGTATAGCTTGTTTGTACATATTCTTGTTTCTTTTTTGCCTCCTCCATTAGATTGTGTACTCCTTGAGGGCAATGACTGTCTTTTGCCTCTTTTTATATCTCCAGCACTTAGCATAACGTCTGGCACATAGAAGGCAATTAAAAGATGTTTACTGACTGATCGACTTCTCAATTGAGTGAACATCATCTTAAAAATATCTTTCTGAATATGTGGGAAATCTGAGGAATAGTGAAAATATATTTTAGTCAGATCACAGTATTGAATTTGCATCTGTGCCTTTATCATTGTAATTTATAAGAAACAAAATATGCTTCAGCTATGTGCCTGAATGCTACCTCATCTCTGTCTTGGGATGGTTTTCTGCTGACCAATGGCAAAGGGTTTCTTTAATCCAATGCTGAGAATTTTCTGGGTGTTTCCTTGAATAGTGCTCAATCATACACCAGGTTCAATGTGAAGAATTCTCAGATATTACCCCCTCAGATATAATTTTTACTGACTTTTTGCTCACGATTAGTGGCTATACAGTTATATACCTCTTAGATACCCAAAAATGTATTATTTCTGTCAGGCTAAGTGAGAAAGTATAGGATCTAACCTTACAGTGGGCATTACTTTACATTACATTGTGTGGTACAAATGCTATTTGTTCAATTAATAGGATTACAAATATAGAGCTGGTCCAGCCGACTCATTTTGCAGATGAGGATACTGAGGCTCTGAGTGGTTCAGTGCTTTGCGCAAGGTCACATAGGCCATAAATACAAGGGGTGGGATTTAAATCCAAGTCCTCTGACCCCAGAATCGGTATTATTTCCACTGCTTCTATTTAATTGGACATTTATTAATATGGGAAAGGAACTATGCTTGGCATGGAAATACAAGGGCAAAAGTGAAACAAGTCCCTCCCCTTAGGAGCTTTCATTCTATTGGATCAGGGGTACAAAATGTATGCAAATAAGTAAATATAAAGGATATTTAAATTTATACATGAAAGTAGGTTTAGGGATAGACCTGTGATTTCATTGCTGTGGAAGGCTCACATTGGAGATTTTCTTTCACCAATATATATTGTTACAGCCTTAGAGAGTTGTCTAAAGCACTGTGGATTTAGCTTGTGCTAAAATCCCACACAATAAATACGTGTGAGGGATGTAACTTGAACCGAGGTTTTCCTGGCTTGAGATCAGGTCTTTATCCATGATGCCACACTGCTTCTCTTTTATAGAGTAATACAAAGTAATTTCAAGAAGGAGTAAATGCTTTAAAAATATGGAATGTTATATGAATTTGAATAAGTGAGGCAATAGATATTCCAAGAAGCTTTTATTTTAAAAAGCGTGGTAAATATTTTAAAAATAAAGTTATCTATATTTACACACTCTTTGTTTCTAGGACAGCCAGTCTGACATTGTCACACCATAAAATATGTGTGATCTGGTGAGTAATAGCTTCTATTATCAAATATATTATGATGTCCCATATTGGCAGTAAGGGTAAGATCATAAATTAGGGTCGGAAGGGATACTAGGGACCATATAGTTCAATCTGTTCATTTTACAGATGGAAAGTAAGGCCTAAGAAGTGACGTGATTGGTTCAAGACTATACATCTCATAAAATTATAAATTTTTGAAATGTTAGGAGTGGGAAGGACCTCAAACATCATGCAATTTCAGTAAAATTCACCCTATTATAAAGCTGAGTAAATTGAGGCCTAGGGTGGTTAAGTGACTTACCCAATGGCACTCAACTAATAAATACTAGAGCCAGGATTCAAACTGGTCTCCTGACTCCAAATTCAATTGTCTTTCCACATTGTACAATGGTGATACTTCATTATAAATGACAAAAGAGACATCTGCTATCTTCTTGGGGTATGTGTCCAAGATAAAACAGAGAACTTCCTAAGACTTGTCAAACTGCATGGCTAAAATCCTCTTATAATTCACATGGGCACAAATCATATGGCTAGAAAGAACCAAGAAAACATTGTGAAAGCTTAAAAAGGCTTAGACAAAAAATAGAAAAATGTGAGGAACATAAATGGTATTTTTATTATTGCTCCCCACCAGAGGCAAGGGATTCAGAAAAGAAAGAAGTGAATAATTGGAATGAGAAGATAGATTTGGATTTCTGGACTATGACTTAAAATACAGGAATGTGTGTGTGTATGTATATGTATATATATATATATGTATATGTATATATATATGTATATGTATGTATATGTGTGTATATATATATACACATATACATACATACACATATACATATATATATATATACATACACACACACACAGTTTTCCAGAGATAGTGTGTGTATATATTTACTATTTTCCAGAAATAGTAGCTATAATTTAGTAAGAATACCAGTTAAAACACTCAGAAGTTCAAAGGAGACAGATCAAAGAAAGAAGCAAGTAATAAAACTCGTGACTTCAAATGTCAATGCACAAATTGGGAAAGTATGAATAACAAGCCAGGTGAATTGAAAAGCCAGGCCCAAGAAATAGATGTGACTTCTTATGGTATCCTTGTTTCTTGGTGGGATGAGACCAATGACTAAAATACAGCTCTAGAAGGGCATTACTTAAACAAAGGAGAGGAGATAGATATAAGGGGCTCATAGAGTAGTAGCGTATATTCAGATTTACTCACATTGGGGCAGGTAGGCGGCTCAGTGGATAGAGCACTGGTCCTCTGTCTGTCTGATTCTTTGTTGACCCTGTTTGGGTTTTTCTTGGCAAAGATACTGAAGTGGTTGCCATTTCCTCCTCTATGTCATTTTACAGATGAGGAAACTGAGGCAAACAGAATTAAGTGACCCACCCAGGGTCACACAGCTAATAAGTGTCTGAGGATGGATTTGAACTCAGGTCTTCTTGACTCCAGGCCTGGCACTGGATTCACTGCAACACCTAGCTGCTCTATCTTCATATATTTCAACTGAAACAATATATTCACAACAGATTGGATGTAGGAGCAGATATGAGAATCCAGCTGTCTTCTATTAAGCCAGACATTAAAGACACTTGCAAAAATATGCCACTCTTCTCACTATTTTCATTTTTTGTTTTGGAAAATATGTTTTTTTCATAAAATATATATTATGTTAACATGTATTGGGTTTATTATTGTTATTTTAAAATGAATTAATAAGTATTTTAAAATTTTGTTAGTTTTAATTTCTAATCCAGTTTATATATATAAAACTCACATAAATAAAAGATCTTTAGGGTCCTCAATAATTTTTAAGTGTATACAGAGGTCCTGAGACCAAAAAGTTTGAGAACTGCTGGGCTAGATGATCTCAGCTTTAAAGTTGTAAGATTCTTTTACTTTTCTACACATTTGAAGGCTTAAACTTAGATGGTATCTTTATAGAAAATGGTTTACTGAATTAATGAATCAATTAACTCATTAAACATTTAAGTGTCAACTATGAGTCAAGCATTGGAGATGCAAAGATAAAAAATGCAAGCATATCAATAAAATGCATTTATAATAAACATACACATTTTAATTAAATAGTGCTCCCAAAATGCTTGAAAATAGTTTAAATATTTTAAATATCTCTTGGCAGTTTTTTTTTCATTATTCAAGCTTGTAAGCTCCTTCAGGGTAGCATCTATGTTTTATTTATCATTGTATTAGCAAAAATCCCTATAAGGGGCAGCTAGATAGTGCAGTGGATAAAGTACTGGGCATGGAGTCAGGAAGATCTGAGTTCAAATCTGGCCATAGACACTTACTAGCTGTGTGACCCTGGGCAAGTCATTTAACCCCTACTTGCCTCAGTTCCTCATCTGTAAAATGGGGAAACCCTGGAGAAGGAAATGGCAAACCACTCCAGTATCTTTGCCAAGAAGATGCCCCTGGACTTTGTGTGACTATAGAGTCAGACACGACTGAACAACAGCAACACAGAGACATAGGAGACACAAAATAACTATTTGTCAAATGAATAAATGAATGGACAGATATAAGACTTTTGTGCCACCTGTGAAGAGAGGGTTTGCTAAATAAACTCCAAAATCTTTGCTTATTGCTATAAATTGAGCTTTCATTAAATGATGCTGTGAGAATCAGCTGAAAGAACAAGTCATTCAGAAACATAGCTCAGAATATTTCATCAAGGACCATAGCTCTTGTTGACCTTGAACACAGAGTCATCATCATTCAATCCTATCTGTGTCTTCCATGTCCAGGACCTCAGGCAAGTTGC